CCAGAAAGTCGGTTTCACTCATGAAAACATTACTTCAGTCACCAATACAAACGTAGTCAAAAAGCTCTTAGAAAGTCAGCATGGAATGTAAAGACAGGTAATGCCGCGGACATGGTCACAACGACCCACCCAAGCGACCTTCAGATACGTCCACCCAGAATCTCAAATGCTGAATCAGGTTAAGTAGCGTAAGCTGTGTATAAATAGATCCGTTTCATTTATAACTTAATAGTGTATAACAATGCTCTATGGTCACATTGACGTGTCCGTTTGACACGTGTCCATAGAGATAGACATACAAGAAATGTCCTTAAACTTAGTGGTCGGCAGCCCACAAGGAGGGAGAAGCCGTGTGTGTGTGTGTGTGTGTGTACGCACACATGCGTGCATATGTATGTTGATGTATGTATTTGTTTTCACTGCAGGGAAATACACATAGAATTGGCCACTTTAGCCTTTTTGCCGTGGACAGCTGAGTGGCACCAAGTTCAGCCACAATGTGCTGCCATCCCCACTATTTCTAGAACTTTCCACCCCCCAAATGGAAGCCCTTAAGCAACAACTCCTGTCCCCACTCTCCTGCCCATCCCCTGCGTCTGCCTGTTGTTGGCTTTTTCCAGGGAGTACGCTGCACCCCTGGGTCCCTCCAGCCCGGCCAGGCCTTCTGTTCTACCAAGCACAATGTCCTTCTCCAGGGACTGCCCCTCCTTCCGGGCCTGCCCCTCTGAGTGCCCAACTGGACACCCCTCACACCCTGCCCGCACCCCTGCCCACCTCCCCTCTGCACCCTGCCCACCCTCGCAGGTGCTGTGGCTTAGAGGGGCCCAGACCCTCCATTCGAGGGGCACTGTGCAAAGAAGGCACGGTGGAGTGTTCTCGGGAACCCAGGGTTGATCAGAGGCTCTAGAATTTTCCTTGGTGATTGTTGGGGGGCTGCCGGGTTTGGGGAGCGGGGGATAGAGACGTTTGATGGCGTATTCTTCACACGTCAGAGTGCAGGCACTTGTCTGAGGGTCGACCAGAGCCAGCCGGGGACGACGGCGGGGGCTCTCTTCCCTCCGCTGACGTTCCTGGGTCACAGGAAAGGGCTCGGTGGGTCCCCTGAGATAACGGTGCGCGTCTGCTCACTTGGCGTTTTCTCCCCCGTCACCCAGTACCTGGAGTCGGTGAGGCCTCTCATGAAGGAGGGGGACTTCGCACGCATGACGGAGCTGGCCCAGGACTTCGCTGTCAACCTCGGGCCCAAGCTGCAGTGGTACCTGAAGCTCAAGTCCTGGTGGGCCACAAATTA